TCTAGTGACCATCTCATTTAAAACGTCAACCCCTCGTCAACACTTTATGTCCCCTTCTCCAGGCTTACTTTTTGTTTTTAGCACTTGTCACTCCTTAACATACCATTTACTTATATTGTCCCTTTACTCACTGCCTAGAACAGTACCCGGCATACAGTAAGCCCTTGAGGAATGAACTGACCACCTACCATATGCTAGGATATGTCGTCTCAGTCATCATAGTAACTCCCCAAGGAAGATATTAGCATAGTAATTTTTCAGATGTGGAAAATGAAGCTCACAGACGCTGCACAACTTCTTCCAGGTCACTTGGCTAAAAAGGGGAGCAGGGAGCTGGAGTTCTAACCCAAGTCCAACTGACTTCAAAGCCAGGGCTTTCCCCATCCCGTGACACATACTATCTTGTAACTAGAGCCCACCCCGATGGCTGTAAAGCCTTGCTACCTTCCGCGATGACCCTCATTTTCTTACTTCCTCTTGCCCATTCCTACCCACCCCTCCCGAACCTCTAGATTTTCTAAATGCTCTAAGCGTGTGTGTGAAAGGAAGGAAGCAGGGATGAAAGTAGGAGTCCGGAGTCATTTGTAATTTGACACTTGTAAATTGGGGCCACCTTTTCTTTCCAAACTGCTTGCTTATATGGGGTTGTTTGTTGCTGCCAAGTTGGCTCCAATTCATGGTGACCCCTTATGTATAACAGAATGAAACATTGCCCAGTCCTGAGCCATCTTCGTGATTGTTGGTATGTTTGAGTCCGTTGTTGTGACTATTGTGTCAATCCATCACAAAATTGGTGGTGCCATCCTGTCTAACGTAACCCCCTCTCCAAGTTACCTCTATTCCATCACCCTATTTATTTTTTTATAGCACGTATCACCACTTGAAGTGGCATTATTTACTTGTCGTTTATAATTGTCACTCCTACTAGAATGTTAAGTAAGCTCTACCAGGGCAGAGACTACATCTGTCTTGTTGCCACTGCATCTCCATTACAGTGCCTGCCGTACGGTGGGCACTCGATTCCTAACTGTTGAATGAATGTGTGAGTGAGTGAAGGGCTTTCACTTTGTTAATGTCCTCATCGTACAGATGGAAAAACTAAGGCTTAGAGAGGAGGAGTGGCTGGTCTACTAGGCACAGACTCCTGGCTCCCAGTCTTGCAGGGCTTTTTGCTATACCATACAGCCTCCCTGAGTTGCTGTTGAGAAAAAGATTGGTTTCAGTTAGGGCAGAAAGGAGGGCAGTGGTCCTTGTTTGGAGAATCTTCCCTGAGTTGTCTCTCTCTACTGGCAGATCCACATTAGAGCCTACCTGCATGACCTGGAGCGGGCCAAGATGGGGGTCGGGGGCATGCCTGACAGGAACCACCTGGCCTGTGCCAAGGCCGACCTTGAGGAAGTGGTCGAGGTGTGCCCAGGCCTCAAGACCTACCTGGACATCGGCCAGGTAAGGCATCTTCTTGGCTTGGGTAGTCAATGGCTAGCGAAGAATTTACTCTATGCCAGGCTAGGCCTGGCCACGAGGACAGAGAGGAATAAAGCACTTCCCCTTGCCTCATAACAGTACCCACCTCTTACAGCCATAGTGAGGATTAAATGACATGGCGGGTGTACGTCATTTAGAACAGGACCTGGCACTTTCTACGCACTCAGTAAGTGTGCACTCAGTAAGAAGGGCCTTCCATGCTCAGGGACTGACCACCAAGGAGATGACAGTATCAGTTTTTCCTATGAGAAACTGAGGCCAGGAGATTGACTCACTCAAGGTTATATGGCTAAGAGTGGAGGGGCTGGAACTCAAATCTGAGTACTCCTTTTCCATTCAAGGACCCTAGGAGGGGGGAGGGGGACAAAATTTGTGATTGATAATTGTTGAAGGTGGAAGGGTGGGAAGGACAGAATGAATGATGAATGAATGGAAGTGTGGGCACAGACTGAGCTGGGAGCAGTGACCGCAGGGAGGAAGGCTCACCC